TGTCATATCCACTTGTGCTTTTGTAAATCTCAGATCCACTTGAGAAGAGCAAAACGAAAGAAGCCAAAATTCCAAAGAATGTTTGAAACACAAACAAGACGAAAATTAAATTCATAATTCGGAAGCCATATCTAGTGCAGTTTAGTCCACATTCTCCACATTTTGTTTGATGGTTCTTCTTCTTTGATTTCTTAAGAGACGATACTTGACTTTTTGATTCAGTTTCGTTTGTTTCTTCTTTTGAATTGTAGCGATGAATTATTGGAAACTCATTGCCATCATCGCTATCAAAATCAGATGAGAACGCATCCATGAAATCTAATCTAGACTGTTTTCTCATTTTCCCTCCTCCAATAATTGATTCTCTTCTGTTTTGATGTTTTCCATTCGTGTGTGAAAACATCTTTTTGTGAATTGTATTTTGTAAAAATTTCTTTTCTTATTGGAGTAATTCATCATTTTAGGATAGAGTTCATTGTTTAGAGTTTAAACCTATTTAACAATATTCCATATAACACTAGATTCTTATGGATGTTCAATTAGTATAAAAGCAGCTTAGGGAATTACGTTCTTAGAATGGAAAAAGGAGCACGTTTTTAAAGAGAAAGGAGCATTGAGGTAAAACATGTAATACCGTGTATATATAGAAATTATTTTCATTGTTTATAACATCCCGTGTAGTCCAATGGCTAGGATACCTGGCTTTCACCCAGGAGGTCCGGGTTCAATTCCCGGCATGGGAGGATAATTTTGCCAAGATAACTTTGAACAAATATGAAGATTTTTGAGACATTGTTCTTATTTGGAATGTTTTGAATACAAGATGTGAATCCTCATAATAATAATTATACTCTGATATGAAATTGAGCAAATTTCCAACAACCATTTTTGAGCATGTGGATATTAGCTGGCCTTGACTCCAGTTCAATGAAACGCATCTGGGTTTCCTCACTCAACACGCAGCAAAATCACTCACAATCAATTATTAGATGAGCATTCAACAGACCTTTGATTGCACAAACAAAAATTGAACAAACCAAACACCTCAAACCATTTCAACTTCCTTCACATACATCATGTACATCTACAATCAACAAGGTGGATCAACAAAGTGTTGAGGATAAACAAATTCCAACAAGAAGGTTCATACGTCATAATCAACAAGACGAGTTTCATGATGTGCTTGTTGCATCCTGAGAGACTTTAGAAGTCCAATTACAAGCGCCAACCTTACATGTGAAAGGCCACTTGAAAAGGCAGATACTCAACATGCCATACATACAAATTTTTGCATCACTTGAATAACCTTTTCATTTGTCTATCAACACTCATGCGCTTCTTTTTTATTGGTTATTGTTGGAAGAAAATTCCACGAGTGTAAGATAGCCAAGTATAAAGGCAACCATACTACTATACATAATAATCTATTAAAACAATAGTTGATAATGCCAAGCA